ATATTTCTTTATAAATATGTAAAATAAATAATAGGTATCTTTTGAACTAATTCTAGATGATCATATACATTTCAAAATCTAGTCTTGTTTTCTCAACTACATTTTTTGTCTCAAATTTAATGCCTAGCTTGAGCCTATGACTTTATTTATTTATTACTTTGCGAGTATATTTTACTTATAATATTAGATGATTTTCGAATGGGGGGCGCTAAAAAGGTATTGTGCCCCGGGCGCGAGTTAAGCTCGCTACGGCACTGTCTCCAATCTTCCTTCAACGACATCCAAGGCATCTGTATAATGATTCAATACGAATTTTATTCTGTATTTCCACATGGGCCAATAATTTTTGGCCGATAATGGCTTAAATGGGATCTTACCCTGTTCCATTTTTAGAATATATTACACAGTCTTGAAGTATCGGGGGAAAAATGATCATGTGTTCCGATCTAGTTAGGCCTATGGATTGCCGTTAAATTTTCATATCCACTTTGCACATAATCTTGGCGCATTGAACTCGCTGGTGCCCATAACCTGTTGTTATTTATGATTTAGTGGATAAATTAAGCTGCACAAATAATCTATTAAGTTTAATACTATATTAAAGTTAATAATATATTAAGCAAAAGGAAATAAAGGAATTACATACAGCGATACATTCGCCGATCTCTCAAGCCAAGCGACAACAAATACTGTTGCCAAAGCACTCAGATAAACTATGTGTTGCCACGGAATATTAGTTACATTACAAAAATAATATATACATGGGAAATATAATCATGCACACAATAAATAATTATAACATAATTCAATGTTTTTTAAAAGTCTACAGTCACCACATTGCTAAGTAGGCTCAACCAAAGTAATCATTTTTTTTTTATCTCCAGAAAAAAATATACTTACTACATGTGATAAATTCAACTTCATAAGTACCATAATTTGAAAATCTACATAGGATAAAATAATCATAAAGAAAATCTATTATATTATCAATGTCATTAAAAGTACTAACATTTAGGAACTTAGCTCCAGGTAAAAAATATATCAAATCCAACTAAAACTCAGACTAACAATTATTTTTCATTATATTTTCTATATACAAAGAAATTTACAAACAATCTGGATTATAAATTAATCTTGACTATAATTTTCTGTGTACAAAGGAATTATACAGTCTACATAAACTATTCTTGATTATAGTTTTCTATATACGTTAAAATTTGACTACTCTATATAAATTATTCTTGATTGTTTTTTATGTACAAAAGAATAAACTCTCGATCAGAAGAATAGAATCTTGATCAAAAGAAAATCTATAAATAAATAGTTATTTGAAATATGTGTATCAACTATGTACAGAGAGAACTTCTATATTAAAAAAAAAAAAAAAACTTTTGACCAAATGAGTCTCACGTAAAGAAATTTATAATCAATCCTAATTATAAAAAAGTCTAGAATGCACAAAATCTTATTTGCTGGTTGTTTTTCACACTGAGTAAAATTAACTAAACTATTGTCTGACATCAATGGATATTTTGTTTTTAACTCGCTAAATGTATTATGAATCAAATCTAGCTCTGAATCAGTTTAGGCATTGACTATTAAATCTTTTATATCGTTTAGATTTTCGAGGAGCATTTTCCTCTTATTTTAAGTGGTTAATGCATGGTTAGTTATTAATTCAGCCGATATAGCACTATGTTCCCCTGAGTTGCTAGGAGAAATGACTGGCTCAGTAGAATTCGAAGATGTAACAGAAAAACGTGAAATTACAAAATGGATGTGTTTGCACATATTGAACCTGATACAATTATCTACACAACTACATTTATACTGATGCACACAAATATTACAAGCATCACATCTTAACTGGCAATTACATGTAACATCAACTTTATTAACATCATATGTTACAATTAAATTACCGTGAGGTTTCGAAACCACCCAACTGCACGTTTTATCTAATTCTAAAACAGAATATTTGTCGCTCATATCTTTTATTTTGTCATGCCTATTTCTCATATCCAATACCCTAGCTGTAAGTTTATGCCTCTCAAGAGAAAATAACCTTCCAAAAAGTTTAGCCCTTATAGCACTCAACACCATAGAAAGTGATTTATCAAGTCTCATAATAACACGCCCAGCGCCTTCTTCATACTTTAACAACCTATGCCACCTTTCCAATTTCATGTTAGCATTTATCCTACAATCAACTTTATAACATTAAGCCCACTGCTTTCTCCTGCACATGTATTCGTCATTAAAATAATTTTAAAAACTTTGCGCATCTGTATTAGAGCTATACTTCTCAAAGAATGATTTGCATAAATGATCAAATGTCACAACATAAGTCTCTTCTTGAAGCTCAAATAAATCAGATTTAATGGTGGATCTTAAATCAGCGACACTAAATTTAGATTTCAGGTTCTTTTTCCAAGCCCTTTTAACATGCCAGCTACATAATAAGTGAAAGTTTCATTCCCCCAAAACATTAACCCATGCATTATAATAGGCTGGTGCATTATCTGACATAAAAACAGTAGGAAATTAAGATTTTGTACACGCTTATTTATTGCTTCAAAAAAATATTTCACCACGTCAGCTGTTTCTCTAGAAGAGTAAAATACAGCAGCTGGAAAACCTTCACGATTAATATCATTAACAATCAGTGTGGTGAATTTACGCTGATACTGATTAAGACCTTGTGTAGAGTCTATCATAATAATACCATCATTTAATTCTAACTGCTTTTGTTGAGCGTTGCTCATAATACAAAGCAAAAAATCATTTTCGTAAATTCTTGGCATTTCAGAGGCATCTCCAACTTTCTTGTACAGCAAAACATGGTTGCCAGGCCCCTTCAGCATTTTTTGAACTTTAAGATGCACAGAAAGAGCATTATTTTTATCCAAACATACCTCACTATTTAACTTAAATTCTGTACAGATTATTGTGCAAATCTTTTTTGTCAATTAATGATAATCGCGTAGAGGGTGTATCATTTGATCTAACATTGGCTAAAACCCTAGATTTTTGTATTACCTGCTTTATCTGAATAACTAAAAGCTTACGTTCATTCGGACTTAGAGGCAATCTCGCCTTCATGACTAACATGTACAGATTGAAGCTCAACAGAAATATTTCCGCGACCAGAACGTTTCGTAACTTTCATGGTAGCTGGACAACTGTTATTAATTTTATTGGTCCCCATGGTTTTAACGTGAAGTTTTCTTTCCCCGTCGCTGACTTCAATGCGGCTCTTTCCTCTACGATGACACACATAATACTTAACTACTGATAGTAAATCAATTTCTTAATAGATCGCTGTATAAAATGAGATACTGTCTCTCTTCCAAAACTTTCCTTCCAAATGTCAAACGAATTTTGATCATCAAAAGATTTAATTTCAAATGACAGGTATACTTCAGAATGTTCGCTCTGATAATGTTTTTTCAACAAACAATAATTCACAAACATCTGATTGCACAAAGCGCACCCTAACTAGCTGGACATATCAATGGGCTTATCATCGTGCAAGTTCCTCATGTGAGCGTATAAATTTTTCCTCATTGTAAATTCTCGTCCACATTCTTTGCATTTCACGTTTTCATGCCCAATTTTTTGTTGTCAGACATTTCTTATTAAAACAAAGTTAAAACCGAAAGCGTAAAATAAGTAATGCTACTAAGCCTAACTAAGTTACGTGGAAATCTTAAACTACCTTAAGTCAATTATTCAGCATAAAAAATTTGGTACACGTTTAGAAACACGTTGATACATTTCAAGCGATGCGCAGTTGCTCAGCCGGTTGTACGTACAGACATAAGTTAGAACAGCACACAACAAACAATTGATCTAATGATGGAAATTAAAGTTGTGGTAGGAGGTGACTTTAGGGTTATAAAAACAGGTTACAGCTAACAAGTATTGATGTAATACTTTAAAACATCCCCTAAATCCATACTTGCTAAAAAAAAAAAAAAAAAAGAAAGAAACTTTTATAACAAACTTGACATATGTACAAAAAAAAATGTCTTCCTTTTAAAAGTTAAATAAAAAAATATGTAACAGAAATGGCATGCTAAATTTAAAAACAAAATTACTGAAAAACAGAATTTAAATTAAAGTTTTTAAATCACACATGCCAATCATTTTTCTCAGTTTCTGAAAACGAAATTTAGGAATGGGTTTTGTAAAGAGGTCAGCTTCTTGGTCTTCACTTGTACAGTGCTGAACATCTAGTAGTCCAATTTCAAACTTTTCTCGCACAAATTTATAACTCATATCTATATGATTCATTCGATTATGAAACTCGGAATTCTTAATGAGACGGATGGCGATCTCATTATCTAGTTGAAGAACGGGTAAAGCAACAGTAAAATTAAGAACTTATAAGAGTCAATAGATAACCTAGTTAATTATAAATCGAAATAAAAAATGAAAGTTAAACCAACTGGACTACATATTTCTTAATTAATTAGAAATAAATATTAGAGAGAAATAACATAGTTAAACATTCGTATTGAGGGTGATTATTAATAGGACATAGCGTGCGTCGTTCACCGATCGTGGTTGGTGTCCAACTACTCGCCGATATTATTTAGCTCATCCTTTTTCCAATCTTTGCCATTCGCACACCTGAAAGTTCGATGTTCAGGGCGCATACTTGCTATCGCGATATAACGAACTACAGTACTCCCCCCCAAGTGCCTTAGGCACTGAGGCTAGAGATACTTGGTGTTGAACCGGACTTTTCTGCCGGAGCGGGTGACTACTGCTGGAGCTGATTCTGTTGTCAGAACTGTAGGATGTATGGTCATCGATGGTTGTTTCGGCACGGTATTGGAAGAGGAACATGATGAGGTCTGAGTTTCATCCATCTCTACAAAACTTGGCTTTAAGCGATCGACACTAATAGTTGTTGGCTTTTTATTTACCAAAATGGTGAAGTGTTTGTCAATCTATAGTAGCACTTGAAAAGGTCCATCATATGGTGCTTGAAGTTATTTCTTTACACCACCATGACGAATGAAGACGTGTGTACAGCTTTTCAGGGACGGGTGCACAAATGAGTCTGGCTTGTTGTGAGTTGATGCCGGTGTTGGGGCTAAGGACTGCATAGTGTCTCTAAGGTGGTCAAGGAAGTCCGACGGATGAGGATCGATGGTACTTGATGGAGATAAGAATTTAGCTGGCAGGCGTGGTGTCATGCCATAGACTAGCTCTGCAGATGTACACTTTAAATCCTTCTTGAATGAAGAACGCAATCCGAGGAGCACCAATGGAAGAGATTCATTCCATCTTTGCGTACCATGGCACATTATAGACTGCTTTAAGGAACGATGAAACCCTTCCACTATTCCATTGCTTACAGGATGATAGGGTGTCGTTCTAATGTGCCTTATACCCAGAAGCCTAGTCAAGGTAGAGAAGAGGGTACACTGGAATTGTCGTCCTTGATCGGTGGTGATAGTCGAAGGCACACCAAAGCGTGACACCCATTGTGACACAAACGCACGTGCCACAGTCTCAGCCATAATATCCGTGACAAGAATAGCCATTGTCCACCGCGTAAAGCGGTCGTTGCAAATGAGGAGATACAGGAAACCTTCAGAAGGTGGCAGAGGACTCTCCAGATCACTGTGAACGTGGTCGAATCGCCTAGGTGGTTGGACAAAAGGTTGTATCGGACTACGGGTGTGCTTAAAGACTTTAGGTTTTTGACAATCCACACAACCCGAGTGACAACGTCTTTTGTAATTGTTCGTAACGTTCCAATATCAATTTCTTTGAAGCCCGAATGCCCGGATGAGAAAGGTTGTAAAGACTGTCGAAGATTGTTTTTCAGTACAAAGCAGGTACAAAAGGGCGCATCATGTCCTTTTCTATTTGGCACCAAAGCTTCATGTTGTTTGCTATGTTAATAGCTTTTAGTTGCAACGAAGTTGCGGAATTATTTAATGTGTTAAGAAGCTCAGGATCTGTTTGTTGGGCTTCTGCTAGATTCTCGAAAGTCCATATATTAATCTCATCTATTCGAGACAAAGCATCAGCAATGACGTTCTCAGTGCCAGAAACATCACGAATATCTGTGCAAAATTGGGAGATGAAGTCAAGGTGCCTGAGCTGTCGCGGAGAACAAGAGTCTGAATTTTTGGAAAATGCAAACGTTAATGGACGATAGTAGTAGCTAGGGGTACTCAGTGAATACAAGCATGTTATTTCTTTTCTGTGGTGGCAATACTTTATTAGTATTATTTATCTTTGGAAAAAAAAATGATTTATTTAAAATCATCTGATGGCGCCATCTATGTATGAATATTTGAAACTTAAAAAAAAAATATAATTAAATTGAGCTTATTTATTTTTTAATCTTAAAAATTATTCTTAATAAATTTATATATTGCCCATCGTGGAGGATCGAACCTGCGCTAACAAAAAGCCTCCATGGGACAGTAGTTGGGTATCTAAACCACTGTCCTATGGATGCTTGTTCATCTTTGTGTTAATAATTTTGACTTTCATTCATTCTCACAAACGATATCGATCACATCCTCTAGTTTCATCGATATATATCTTCACTTCAATTTTATCAGTTATTAGAATATTATTTCTGCCCTCCTGGCAGTTACAATTATTTTCTCCTCTTGGCAACGATACTCTTATGCACGTGCTTGAGAGTGTGTACCGGTTTTGGGCTGACGTCACTCCACGTCATTCCCTTCTCGTTCAGGCAAGATTTTTGCAAGGTAGATCTTGTACTGTGACGTATGCATGATGATTTCAGTTCCTTTCACTGAAGAAGATTGTTGTACACACGTGGATGTTTTAAAATTTTTTCATTGGTCAGTTATTTTTCTACTTGCTCGGAATGGCATGAGTTTCTTGTGCATTACTCGTTTAGTTTAGGCTCGTTGTTGTGTTAGACGTTGTTGTGCGCAGTGTATACCAAATTTCATACCTTCACAAGATAATTTTTTCTTTATTTTTGAAAATTTGAAGACCTTGTATCTGCATTCATTTCATTATGGACAAAAGGAAATATAATCAAGAGGCCAATTCACAAGATATTTGCAAAAAGTCGAAAACAGATAGTTCTAAAGTAAGTTTTATTTTGTTATACTGTGTATTATTAAATTAAAAATTTTACATATAATTTATTTGTTTTTTTATAAAATTTACTAAATCTGTATTTTTTTTATATTTTTTTACAGGATGGTTTATTCACCGATGATCACATGCCAGATGAGGTATTCCCGATCGGCAACGATGTCTTTGTAAATGCTACAACATATCGTGGATTCGTTACAGTACACTTGCGGCAATACAAAAAATATGGTAAAGTGTACTACCCATACAATATATCATGGGACTCAAAAAAGTTCCTGAAACAAAAAGTGAGTTAGCTATGGCACCTTACGTCTCAGAAAAGGAATTCCGAATCACAAGTGAGAACTTTTCTGATTTTTGTTTTGAACGCATATACAAAGCTGATAAAATACCCAGTTCAAAGCGAATAACTATCACTAAGGAACAATGGCAAGAGATGCTAGACAAATACATTGATATTTCTTTCATAGTTTTGGATTTTATATTTAAGAA